TCTACTAGGCGGGAACTAAAGCTGAGCCTGCGCGATGAAAACGAAGTTTGGTGAACTAGTCGGGTTCAAGAAATGGAGGAAGCAAGAAGAGTAGGTAATTATCGCAAGCTCTTCCAGCTGATCCACACCACTAGTCCCAGGAAAACAAGCCTCAGAGAGACAATCAGAGGTAGTGCGGGTGCCCTGATACACAATAAGGAGCGACTTATAGCTCGTTGCGTGGGGCACTTTCGAGAGCAGTTCCGTTATCTTCTGCTTCTGAACCACTTCCTCCTCAGGTGTTGCAGGCTTAGCCATGGCCAGTTAGTTTATATTAGCGGTTTGCAGCCAGGAATTAATTACCCCCAAGGAGGTAAAATGTAATGTTACTTGTAAATATAACTACGAGGATTTCGTCATCACTCTGCATCAACACGTGTAACTAACTACCTAATCACTGTTGTATAACCATCAGTGAGTCAGCATTAGCGAGTGCTCAGTGCGATATATAATTTTATAATAGATTTCACTTCTTGCAAAGCGAATACTAGTCCTCAAAGTACGGTTGCTAAATGGCGCCTCTATCGGCTCACTCGTCGATCGTTGTTCTTTTGCCTCAGGCAATCGTTTGCCGAGTCAAGTTAGAGACTTGAGTGCACACTAAGGTGTGAGCATAAGTCAGGCGACAAGCTGCAGGAGCAACTGAATGTATAAAAAGTAAAAGGGAAAAACAGGCATTTGGGCTGTTCGACCACTCCATCTTCCTCCAAATGCTCAATGGGTACTTGAGGCCCCATGTAGAGTACGCGATTCAGGAATGGCTACTCGGGTTAAAGCGCGATCTGGTTGCACTGGAGACCACATAGTGGGACGCAAGCAAAAAATGTGAAAGGACTGCTCCTTCTGCCATACCATCTGCGACTGAAAACACCAGGAGTATAATGCGGAAGTTATCGCCGTCTACGTGGCGAGTCAGTATGGCGTACCAGATCTTGAAAAACCCCGGTCACGCTTACCACCACCTCACGAAACTAAGGCGCAGCACAAAATTAAGGGGTCACCAGCTTCAATTGGCCACCCAATACTGGCTGGAATGCTGTGCAACGCTCTTTGGACCCTTGTCATTTGTGCGGCCACCCTACCCGTATTATAAAAGCGACTCGACGATGTAATTCGCCTCTGCATTAGTTCATTTGGTTACTGTTAACTGAGTGCCGACAGGGTGCACATAACATTGTGCTCACCAATCCCCATCAAGTCATGATATACGGATATGGATGGCGGCATTCCGTTCCCGATTTATCTTTCACTGTGCTCTCCACAGGACGCCTGCACCTACACAGGGACCATTGGTGGCTTGCGCTGCAACACACACACCTCCATCCCCACACACCATATCCAGTGTAATCCCGAAGTACTAAGACCGGGAGGCATGTGGATGGGAGGCATGTGGATGGGAGCCACGTTCCATCAACGGAGCCGGCCAACACTCCTTCAAAGACAAACACAAGCACGCTGTATTTTGGGAATCAAGTGCACACAAGGCGATGGCTGGACCGTAGTCCGCTCCAAACTGAGCGCTTGAAACCACTCTTCTAACCTAGCACGGCTACGAGGACCGTGTTCCCCGTTCTCACCAGTAACGACCAACTGTCTCCTAGGATCAGTATAGAGGAGGTGGTGAGTAATAGGTAGGTACGCACCTTGTCATTATGCACATCAAGAGCAGCCACATCGGCGATGTCAAGCAACAGGTAATCACATGAAACGAAATAATCAATAAAATAGATCTAAAACACCATCCGGATATGCTACTAAATTAGCACATGATTTGGATTATCAACATAGCCGCGATAATTTGAAGATGGCAGATAAACGGGTCAAGCAACATATGCATGATGACGAAAAACCAAGTTAAGCAGCTTTCGTATAAGCAACATTTACAATTTATTAGTTTATTTCGTCAAACATTAAACTGAGGTAAGAAATTAAGTATTAGGCAAGATATCAGCTCCACCACCAGAAATAGTGAAACTCAACACACAAGCACGCAATTAGTAAATCTAATAAACGTCGAACTGCAAACGTTGTTAGAAGGCAATTTCATAACTGATGCGACTGCAAAATCCTTAAGACCCAGGGGTACGCAGACACCACAGCTTTATGGGTTGCCAAAATTGCACAAGATGGACGTCCCTCTGAGACCGATTCTGTCCATGAGCAATTCCCCACAACACAAGCTAGTTAAGTGGCTAGTAGCACTGTTGGAGCCAGTTAAATGATCAATGGTTAAACATAGTCTAATAGATACGTTTGAGTTAGTGGAATTTCGGACGGTATTGAATTACGGAGAAAATTCATAGCCAGCATCGATACCATCTCACTGTTTACCAGTGTGCCACCAACAGAGAGGGTTTCGATTATCTGTAATCATGTGGTCAAGAACCAAGTAGAAATAGACATACCAGTCTCGGAATTAGAATGACTTCTTCTGTTATGTACATCGAATGTCAAGTTCTATTTTCAAGAACAAGGCTATCGCCAAGTGGATGGTGTTGCAATGGGCAGTCCACTGGGACCGGAATTAGTAGACATCTTCGTCGCCCATCTCGAGAATCAAGTCACGGAAGAGATCGACGAAACAGTGTTGTTTCGTAGGTATGTGGACGACATTTTGTTAATCTGCGACAGCGAGTATCAGTTAGCCCAACTGGTTACTAAGTTGAATGGCTTACACACAAACATTAAAGTGACAACGGAGCACGAACAGCATGGTACGCTGCCGTTCTTGGACATCCTGATCGAGCGTAGAAGTAACGGTTCAGTACGCAGATCAGTTTACCGCAAGCCAACGTGGAAGGGACAGTACTTGAACTTCTACAGTTTTGTCCCCAAGAGGTACAAACAAGGTCTAGTGAAGACTTTATTCAACAGAGCTAGAAAAATATGCACTGCTGATATGTTGGAACAAGAGGTGCGGCTGATAACAAGCAGCCTCGTAGACAATGGGTACCCACCGTCTTTCATCGCTCAGTTTAGTGCTGAGAAAGAGAAAACATGTGCCCGCGGTACCAAAGATGAAGGTAACCCTGCAATTGCCATTCAAGGGCGACGACGTATGCCAGGTTTTTCAGCGCCGATTGAAATCCGCAGTGGTGCGCGTATACCCTGCGGAAGAACCAGTACTAAGCTACGCAACGAATCGTATCCCTACTCCGTCGGTTAAACCCCCGCTGTCGCTGTCCAGCCGTTCACACATCCTTTACCAATTTACATGTATTTGCAAGGCCGAATACGTGGGCATGACAGAACGACAATTGAGAGTGAGGGTCGCAGAGCACATACCGGCGTGGGTGAGTAAACACGTTTCGCAGATGACCACGTCCACCACCTTGAATGCGCAGCCAAGGAAGCGAAATGAAGTTCCATACAAACAACCAGCTTCATCAATCGCCCGCCATCTGCTGGCTGACAATCACTCTGTAGACTCCATGCGGGCGTTCCGTGTTATCTATGCATCAATGAACCCCCTAACCTTACGATATGCTGAGGCCGTGGCTATCAAACAACTCGGCCCAACTCTGTGTGTGCAGAAAGACGCATTTGTGACCCTGGCCTTGCCGTGGTAGCAGGCCGGGCACAGATGACAAACTGACATGAATGTAGGTGTGTATAGTTTGGTCAATTTGCCATTTTAACTGCGCTCCTTTCATGATGCTATAAATTCACACGTCTGTAGTACGCACTTGAAAATATGCAGAGAAATTATTCCGGAATTAAATCGTGCGGCACTCTTGTGGTAACTCTAGTGTATTCAGAACAAGGTCTGTTAGGCTTACGGGTTTCTGGGTTTCCAAATTTGAACAACGACGACAATTTTTCGCTGCATCGGCACTCTTGTGTTAACTTTTTTTGTTTAATTTCGATAAAACCAGAACATCCCCTTACTCTTTTACTTAGTGTGTGGCTCAGTTAGGATCTTGAGGAATACCGTTCGTATGAACACAGTGCAGCGGTACCGTTAAAGTTTGGGTGAGCATGATCAAGTTGTTGCGTTGTGTGAAACGGACAAATTGTCGTAAAGCAGTAAAGCGTTCATTTACAAACGCTTCCAATCATTCACTTAAGTTGAACAAATTAATATGATACTTGATTGGCTCTAACGTTCTAATCACAGCTTGCTGCGTGTTTTGCGATTCAAGTCTTTCGAGTGATCGTGACTGTACCTGCGGCTCGGTAAAGTAGCCTTGCACTAACATTCTGTCATCGGTGTTATCTTTAATGTAGTCAACTAATAATGAAGCTTTTTTCCATGACACTACACTCGTGTGACCATCAATTCGCAAGTAGCCTAATTCCATACTTGACTCCAGTTTGGTTTCCGTGATATTCCATCGCATTAATGCAAGAAGGCTGTATGTTCGCGAGCAACCAAACCACGTACGTAATCAGCTGGACCATGCTGTCGTAGTCGGTATTGCTTTGGATAGCAACCGTAAAGCTAAGCCCCTCAAGAAAGGCCAGTTTTATAAGGAACCGCTTCAAGCCTGGCTGGCAATGAACTCACCCTTTATACCGAAAGGTGCCTTAACTGTTTAGGATGTGTGGTGATGTAGAAGAGGGCAATAGGGGGGATAGGTCCGAACGTGCTCCACACATTGAGCTACGGCTGGTTACCAGCTGAAATTAGTCAATAATTACAAATTTTATAGTGCTACCCCCAAGCTGTCAAACGGGAATTAGTACGGATCAGATATATGATGCTGCACTGTCAGCATCGCCAGAGAATCGGCCGAGAAAGTAAGCAAGGTATTTCACAGCGAACGTGCATCCAACCATTGCGGCTTCCACACACGCAAACCAACATGGTTCGCCCCCATCGTGTTACATCGCTTCAACCTGTGTTGTCGCTGCAAGAAAACGGGGTTAAAGAGGGTGAGCAACTATTAGGCAGTGCTTTGAAAATATAAACTCATTAGCGTAGGGAGAAAGCAAATGTAGTCGTAGAAGCTGTGGCCTACTTCTTTGCCGAACTTGCCGCGGAGGCTATCCGAAGATCGTCCGAGTCGGTGTCCCATTCATCACTGCTTTGGGTTACAAGGTGTGGATTTGACGCAGCTTGGCTACTAATGATAACGTTTTGCTGGTTGGGGCTGAGTTGAGATGTTGGCGAATTCGCCCTCCGTGTAGGGCTCATTGTGGCAGAACGGTCACGCCCAGTTCCATGAGAAAAATCGTTGGAACCCTGGTTATTGGACGAAAGCGGAAATGACTGCCTAGCTTGCTGAGTCCGTTGGTGTCCAATGGATGATGCACGATGACCCGATGAGGTACTCCGATCTTCACTCTGTTCATTTACATTCAATTGTGGACTGGATCGTTGGAAGTGAGGCCTATTTTGGAAGTGTAAAAACGCATAACTTAAATCGGGTTGACGTGCGTACGGTTAAAATCGGTCGATTTACGTTGAATTATCTGCGTTACTAGAGTTTAGCAACCACACAAATGTCAACATTTACTCACCTTGGCCGCTATTTATGACGTGTGCCGTTTAACAAATTATGTCTGTTGATTCTTAAATGTGCTAAGTCAGTTAATTCTATTCCAATGTTTACCGTGAGATGAATCGATGCCGTCATCGAGCAACAGAATCCCACTAGTGTTTAGTTCACTTAAGCGGTCTCCGACTAGCATGGACCGCAATACGACTCATCTGAACAGCATTTTCGCTTTCTTCATCTCTCTATCAGGCTAAATGCTCCACATTTTATTCGTTCCGGGTTCGAATCCGCTCAATTGCATGGGTTTTTCTGCTCCTGAAATATCGGTTCACATCAAACAACAGATCACGTTGAGCAGCAGTAAAATATTGATACAAAATGACATGTTATTGTTAATCGACACAAATAGCCTTCCATTTGTAAGGAATTGGTCACTTATTGATAAATTGGCTGACTGAACTTCGCTGGGCTCTTACAACTCACATGACCGAGTTAGCGTACAAGCGTAGCCCAAAAAAGCTTTCAAAGAGGACATTACGGTGAATTATACGCAAAGGCTATGCCACACAACGCATTTACTGTGCTGCGAAGTTGTAATCATCAACCCAGTCGCAATTTGCCGGTATATCTAAGACGAAAACATAATGCGGCTAGCATCAATATTTATCAGACTACACTTTAGCTTGTGGTACGAAACATCACGGCTATTGTAACACAATAAAAATTTAAATAGGGGACATCAAAAGAAGAAACAGTAGAAACGGCAACAAACGACAAAAGCGGTAATATTCTTATACCGCTTCATATTATGCGCTGATAAATAGCTCATGGTTAGAAGGGGAGGCAAGTCGGGATGGGGCGGAATAAAGTAACTCCTGAACAGAATTAACTGAGGTCCACTCTTAGCCATGACAACAAGTGTATTCACTCAAACTTATTCGTCGTTCTTGGGCCCTAAACAGGAAGTCGCGAAACTACAACCGAGGTTGACTTCGAAAGGAGGGACTTCGTTCCTTTTGACCGGGTCATCAGTTGGCCTCCCCTCCTCTTCTGCTATCCAGATTCCGGCTGCGCAAACAGCGCAGCTCGAGAGAACCGGTGTATTGGCATACACAACCCATGACCATGCTATCGGTGCCTGGTGCAGGCAGTCAATGAATTCAAAGCTGTACCTGCATCCAGTTACAGTAAGAGGGATGGCAGGGATCTAACTTCGCGAATGAATGGATAGGTACCAAACTGTGATCATCGCACAAATGCGAAGCAGACTTGTCTTTTATGGTTTGAACTCGCGCAGGCCGTCGACCTCCTCGAAAGGCGGGCACATACTGGTCACAAGTTGCCAAGTAATGTTCAAAATCATTTTGCACCACACCATTCCCAGTTTCTTCAGTTCACCGAGGTTATCACGATCAGTCGAATGACATTGATTCCGTGCGTTTGAAGACAGTATTGGGCTATTTTTGACTTAAAGATGGCATTTCCGTTTTGTCTTAAGCCTGTTTGGTCGCACCCAAGGGTAAGCGCATTTGTGTATATTTAGTATTGTTGACAGTGCTGACTGGGCTGCACTTTCTAACCATACTTATTAAACTGCAAAAGGTAATTAACCGCGTTAACTTCTATTTGTTTTGGACATTTCGGCAGTATTTAAGTGGACGGCCGGTCATCCGATATGCACTCCGATTACTTAATTATATGGTTGGCTTTATAGCTACCGTGACAGCTATTGGGGCACATCGGTAAGAGATGCCAGGCTGCAACAGTCGCAAGCCCACGAGATAGACTACTGATTACTGATTACTAGTTGGAAGCAGCAAGTAGAGTTTGCTCTGTGTAGCTGCACCTAATATCATTCAGGGACAAAGATCCGTTATGTTGTGTTGCGCTCAATATATTTTGCCTCGGCAAAGTGTTTGTCCAGGAACTTTTTAAATTCCGACACCGAATTTGCCTCTACTGCGTGCTGCGGCAGGTCGTTCCATACGTTCACTACTCTGCGTTCGAAACAGAGTTGATAAGCGACCCGCTTCAAATCCGGTACGATAAGCTTGTACCGGTGTCCTCGTGTACAGCTTGGTGTGCGCAGATGAAGCAACGGTCTCAACATGGGGTAATCTCTCAGATGTAATATCCGGTGCGTCATGATGAGGTCAACCCTCAGTCGACGATAAGCTAGGGTGTACAGCCCTTGTTTCTTACATCGGTCTTCGTACGGCACACCTCATAATTTGGGAATCAGCCTATTGGCTACATGCTGCACTCGCTCAATCTTCTCTAACTCACTCCGGGTGATAGGACAATACGTGGGTAACAGACTGCTAAAAACAACGCAGAAGTAACACGGTACTCGACGTTAACTGCAGTAGGAAAAAAGGGCAGAAAAGGTCCGAAACTTCGCAGTCAAGCCGACCTCACCTGTTTTTAAGATGCTCTGAACGAGTTAGTGAACTGGAACGAGCTCCATACGTCCGGGCTTGACCGCTCCATGTGGGTGTTGAATACCTTGTAGTAACTTGTACATCATCCCGTCTCCTGGCTTGATCGAACTGAACGTCTCGTCGAACAGCGCTAGGATTGCGGCCAGTCGGCAGAAGATTGTTGGTACTAAAATTGGTCCCAGGCCCTACATTTTCACGAGAGCCAATGAGACGTTGTACTGGCTTACCGCTTAGTGCTGCATGAGCCAGGCGGTCCACGTGTCGACTTAGGGACTGTGGTAGGATGTAAAAATGTTGTACACTAGTATACACTAAAAACTGTTAAATAATTCCATGAACTGTAAATCTAACTGATTACTTTACCTGTGGAATCAGTCACATACAGCAGTAGTGTATCAGTGCACAATGTAAGATACAGCAACCGCCTATAAAAGGAATTTGGATCGCTTAAAATTAGATTGTCTTAAGTGTTGATAAACTGCGCTTCGATGTAACCTGAGATCTACACTAGAAACAGCATTAGAACAAGCGAACGCGGACGACAAAAGGAAACTGGACAGCAGAAATCATGTAGCTGCCGATCTAAAACAAGAAATAACAAAGCTACTGGCGTTCAAGTTACTTCACCGAGGCTAACACTTTAAGTATGGCTTTAGTTCAGCGGTCTTAACCACGGACTGGCAACGGTCGAGTTGCGGGTTCGAGTCCTACCCGGGTCCGATGGAATGCGCACTGCTGATGATTCCCGAAAGGATGAAACGCGCGTACAGTGCTTTTCAGGGCGTGTGACGGCTGTCTGAGTGGGTATAGAGATGACGAATTTCTACCTATAACATTTCAACTTGTTAGTCGATCTATAAAGCCGGCGTTTGCTAGATGTCAACACACAGCTTTCCGTTCTTGGTAACAGTGGATTCACCATCCATCTGCCGCATAACCCTTTTGCCACGAAAGACATTTCCATACTACGAGCGCTTTCATCGATTTCCAGATCTATTAAAACCACTTTCAACAGCCGTATACCACACATTCTCTATGTCACCACATCGCCACCAGTGGCAATCCAGTTTTCTCACGTCCGCGACGTCTACATCCAGAAAGACTCAAAGTAGCTTAGGATGAGTTTCAACACCTGCCCTAATTAGGAATAATTCGACTATCTCAAAGCTTGTGGGCATCAGCGTTGCATGTGGTAGCAAAGAAGATAGTATGCGATTGGAGACCCTGTGGCGAATATACAGCACTTAGCCACATCCACATTAGTGATAGGTACCCCATTCCAGGAGAGCAATTAAAGGTAGATCTGCAAGATCTGGTTTCAGACTTCCAGCTACATGGCCGCGGCACTACGCCCACCAGATTCAGGGGAACTAACAGAACATCCATATTGGACCAAATATTCACTAGTGAAGAACTGGTGGTCGAGAGAGTGATAACCGATACTCCTCTGGGCCGCAGCGATCATGCGACGCTAGTGTTTCATTGCATGTGCTAGGCGGATTATCCTAATAAACATGCCGAGGAATAACATGTCGTTACCAACTATGACGACCTGTCCGACCTCAATGATGCAACAAGCTGGTCTTCCTTAACAGAATTGACGCCTGAGGTGGCCTGCGGAGCATTCGTCAACGTATTTAACAAGCTCGTGGCAAGGACATCTGAAACCAAACTTTACCGGCCTGAAAGGATGAAGTATTTCGTAAGGAGCAAGACACGTAAATGCATGGCATTAAGGGACTTGGCATGACACACTTACATAGCCTCCCCGAACGACCATACCTGGGATGTTTAGACACCACAAAGGAACTACTGTGTCAAACTCGTCCGGGAGGATAAACTGAAGAACCAACAAAGTCTAGTGGAAAAGTTTTGCGCCAATCCCAAACTGCTATACAGACACGTAAACAATTTGCGCCATGGTAAGCGCGGTATCCCTGATCTGCACACAACATGCGGATTAGCCCAAACCGCACAAGAGACGGCCAACGTCCTTGGACAACAATTTGGTCGTACCTTCGAAAGCGTGCAATCATCATACATTCTGCCTAAGTAGATAATGCCGCCATCAGGGCTTAATAACATGTCGCTCACCTCCGCAGCTCTACTGAAGCGGCTGATGCCTCTGCGCGAGTTCAGCTCCCCGGGTGCGGACGGCATTCGTCCAAAGGCGTTGAGAGTTGCTGCCATGAGTTTGTCAGGACCATTAGCAACCTTCTTTCAACGATGTCTGAAGGAGATGCACGTCCCCACGATGTGGAAGCACGGAATCATCACGCCTATATACAAAAGTGGTAGCCATGTTGAACAAACAAATTGTCTCCCGATAACACTACTTCCTGTGATCTAAAAATTTATGGAGTCCATTGTAGCTGAGGGTTTGATGGGGTATCTGAAGAACAGCAAAATTCTCGTTCCGGAGCAGCATGGATTTCGCCAAAATCGGTCCTGTACCACTAATCTCTTGATTGCTCGTGCAAGCTGGACGGAATCCGTGGACGCTGGTGCAGAAGTTGACGCGGCCTACTTGGATTCCTCAAAGGCATTCGACCGTCTAGACCATCGCATTCTCCTCCACAAACTTCAGAAATATTGAATCGGTGATCCTGTTCTTGGCTGTAAAGTACACCTTCTCGTGCAACGTCACCTAAATGTGCGGCTTCGAAGCAACTTGTCGGAATCCATGGAAGTTCAGTGCGGCGTACCTCAAGGCTCGGTACTTGGACCCCGCCTGTTCCTGGTTTTCATAAATGAACTCGCCAGCGTGCTATCTTCTAACTGCTTGCTATTTGCTGATGATCTAAAGGTATGGTGCATTATGGCTGAAGTGGAGTATCATACTGTGTTACAGGAGGACCTGGACAAAGCGTACATATGGTCCATCGAGAACATGCTGCATTTCAACGTCAACAAGTGCAAAGTTTTCAGCATACGGCACACGAGTATGCACAACTACCGCCTAGGACCACAAATTCTATAGCGGACCTCTCACGAGTGCGATCTCGGCGTGATAGTTCAAGACGACCTCCGTTGTTTGAGGCAGACTGAAAAGGCAGCTAATAAAGCAAACCAGTATCTCGGCGTTCTTCGCAGAGCTTTCGGGAAGTTTGACCCTTCGATCATTTCAAAAAATGCTAAGTGAGTACGTGAGGCCGCACTCGGAATACGCTATTCGAGCCTGGCAATCCTGGCTCAAGTACCATCTAACCGCGCTCGATATTGTACAACGTAGGACAACGAAGAGCGTCAGAGGTTTGACCAGCCTCTCCTACCCAATCAGGCTGAAGACCCTCAAAATACTCAGTGGACGTTATCGGCGTCTAAGGGGCGATCTCATAATGGTGGACCAGATTCTGAGAAACCCCAACCACGCTTGCCATTCCCTTCTGATACTCAGTCGAAACACCTCGCTAAGAGGTCACCAGTTTAAGTTAGTCACGCAGTACAGCCGTCTGGAATGTCGGCGAAATTATTTCTCCCTTCGAGTGGCACAGCCTTGGAACACCGTCCCGGAACATGTAATTAATGCACCCACCCTATCCCTTTTCAAAAACGCGTTGACGATACTCTGTCACATTTACACTACGTATTATAGCCCATGACCACAAGATTCTGACACTAATGCGCAATAGACAGTTGACAGTGTCATAACCGTACTCGAGAATGAGTCACTCCAAACCCCTTGCATACAGTCTGATAAACGCTACTACTATAGAAACTGGATTTCTGTATCCTGTCGACCCGAGATAGCTACACACGAGTAAGCGTTGTCCTTGCTATTTTTTATATTTTTCCCGCTTATTACGTGATCAATAACCACTCCCCTTATTGCTCTGTGTGCGCACATTCTAAGTTCAAACTCCCTTTATACGGCGGTGCAATTAAATCTGTAACCGCCCGAACCGACGATTCCAATATTATTGATCTATCTTTTCTCACTGTAAGCACCCTACGGAACATGTCAAGCACCTGCTTTTTTACCCGTTATAAATCATTGTTCATTGTTCTTGTATGTGCTATTTTTTCCACACATTGACGTTATGCGCGCTTATCACCATATCCCTATTCATCCTGCTGATATTCATAAGACAGCAAGTACAACACCATTCGGTTTGTACGGATTTTTACGCATGCCATTTGGTTTAGGTAAAGCTGCACAAACATTTCAACGCCTTATCGATCAGGCACTTCTAGGCCTACCACTTGTCTTCGCTCATCTTGATGATAGTTTGATGCCAGGTGCTAACGAAAGAGAACCGTTGGAACATTTAGAAATCTGATTTATACTTCTCACCAAATTCGGAGTGGTTATTAATAGCAACAAGTTTGTCTTTGGTTAATATTCTTTGAACTTTCTTGGTCACACCATTGATGGCAATGGCCTTTCACCGAAAGAAGAGAAACTTGATATCATAAAAAACTTTCCCACAGCCACTTCTGTGAAACGGTTGGAACCTTTCTTAGGAATGCTTAACTTATACCGCCGTTTCAATCCAAACGCCGCCAACGTGTTTTCTCCAATCACAAACGTGTTGGTTGATGATCCGAAGCAATTCCATTTCACTGACGCCACTGTAAGAGCTTACAAAGAAGTCAAATCTTTGCTATCTACTACCATGATGCGCTTCTACCAACAACTCGATGCTCCGCTGTCGTTAAACGTTGACGCATCCAAAGCAGTTATCGGAGCTGTCTTGCAGTAGGCGGTAGATAAAGTCCAACAACAACTTGGATTTTTCTCCTACAACTCATACCAGCTGAAACGACACGGTACGTTTGGTCATGAGTTAGTCACCATCTACTCAAGCATCCGCCACTTCAGACATCTACTGGAAGAAAGACAGCTTGTTGTCTTCACAGATCAAAAGCCCTTGACATTCGCTCTACAGACTAAACCAGACAAATACTCAACGCGTGAAGTGCGTCAGCTAGATTTCATTTCACAGTACACCAGTTATATCCGCCATATTCCTGGACGAGATAAGATTGTCGCTGAATCACAGTTACCGCCTCAAATAGATTTGATGAACACTACATCCATCGATCTGGAACGCATAGCTCAACTGCAAAAAGACGAACCATCTCAGTCGCAGCTGAATTACAAATAGCTTTCACTGGACATTCAATCAGGCCCTCTACACAGTACACCAAGTACGATTGATAGTGATGTTTCCGTGACAAATCCAATACCCTTGGTTCTTTTATCCATACGCCGAAACATTTTCCAGACTCTTCATAAGGTTTCGCATCCCGGCAAACGTGCAACTGTCAAACTGAGCTCCAAACGCTTTGTATGGTCGAACATGAACAAAGGCATTCGCACATGGGCAAAGACTTGCTTAGCATGTCAACGTTCGAAAGTCACTCGGCATATCCAAACGGACACCTGAAGTTTTGCACAAACAGGCAGCATATTCGACCATATCCGCATCGATATCGTCGGACCCCTACTCTATATCAGTGGTAATTCATACATCCTAACATGCATCGATCATTTCACTCGATGGCCCGAAGCCATTCCCATTGCAGACACACTTGCAGAAACCATCGTCGTGCACTTTTCATTATTTCACCTAACTGCGAACTTTGAAAGACGCAAGCAATGAAAAGAAATAAGCACTTGCGGTTGTGCTGTCAGTACCCGCTCTGGTTTACCACGTAGTCAGCGAAGGCCCAGAAGCCGATTCTTCTATATGCACTATTCTCAAAACTGTTAGCAAACAGAAGTACGTGCTACATGTTTGGTGCTCAAGGATGCACTGCTTCGTGTAACTAAGAAAATATGAAAGTGTGCAATTGCGGATAAGAAATCGGGCTTTTCCGATCACTGGGACCGTGGACAGAATGGAACAGGCGGACTTCAAAGTCAACCAATGCCACAATCCAGAATGCCTGTCGCAATCCAAGCTATACAGAGGATACTCCAAAACCTGACAACAAGTATGTTACGCTTCAATTAGTAAGGTTGAAGTAAAGTCTCTTAAGCGGTACTTGATACATTATAAAGGATTTTTGTCAGCTCATGAAGGGTACAATGCAGTCTCATAATAAAATTCACCCATAATTAAACTGATCTGCAGAAATGCTAGTTATACACCTTTCCCAAAAGTCAAGATTATTAAATGCCAGAATATTTCAATTAAGCAAATAAGCGCACGTCCGTTTAGAAACAATATAATATCGCCTTGAAGGTTTTACTTTGCTAATCATGGGCGCTTTGGGTTAATCTGCTACGCGTTTGTCAGCAAGCAACACTTTTCTCTGAAGTGACCGGGTGATGTGCAGATATCGCGTAATCAGGTTCGGCACTGTAGTCTAATGGGATTAATTCCCCATATGTATCTGTGTGAAAACAGTTAGCTTCAGTACTGGCAGTTGAGCCAGTACTGTAGTACAAACTTAGTATACGTACTTACCTCTCGGATTGTTTTGAAGTTCGCATGTTTCCGTGCCAAATGTTCTCTTTCCCTGCCCAGTGCCCCTAGGCAATCATTTAGTTGTGTGGTGCTGATCCGTAGTTGGGATGCGTTGATTCCTCTCTCGGATAAGTGTTCAGCCAGCAGTTGTTCTACTTCATGACGAAGGCCTCTAAGAGTTTCAGAGTCGGCATGAAATTGATCCACTAGGCGGCTGTACCGTAGAACACTTGTACTAAGGTTTTGGCTTTGTGTGCGACCTGGAGAAAAACGGGTAAAAGTGACGTGCGACGATAAGCTTATTCAATGGATGCTCCTTGTAGGTGTGTACGTGATGTGCACAGTGTGGAAGGTACAGGAGAAGGAGCGGGTGGACACTAATAGTTCCAAATAACACAACCAAGCGTCTGCAGCCCTCCATCGTTTCAAATCTTTGGGCAGTCGTATTTCCTTCGCCACTCGCAGCACCCAAGCTAGTGCAAAAGTTACTGGACCCAATATATAGCGACCTCAAAGTGTAGGCTTAGCAAAGGATGACTAGTGGTAGAGCAGTTATTGATTTACGTATAGCACTCGTGACTGTTGCAGCTTGACAAAATCTACAAAATTTTTGTTTCTGGACACCGGTTTCTATGTAGTAACAATAACAATGTGTCAGCTGTACGTCTTAACGGCGCTTCGCTGCCGTGCGACCACCATCAGTCGCACGCGAGTTGAGTATCCGCGAGGAGGTCCGCCCCTACGCGGATTCGAACCCATTCTGGTTTCTACGTAGTACAGGACAATATTGACGGGAGTGCTACTTAATCGTACTAAAGTCCACCGTTCGGCGTTTGGATGCAGGCAGTCTGGTGTAGAAGCAGAGCATCTGATGAATTCAGACTGCTCCCTTTAACTGGATCATAGTGTTCGTAGACAGTTCGTTCACTTACTTTTGCTTCCAACGTCTACCCATAGTAACCTTGTAAATGCTGCTTGTACGGTTGTCGGGTTTTGGAGCATCCGCTGTCTGTCTTGGATTGCGACATGCAATCGTACTTTTGGCCTCGGCTGACTTTAGAGTCAGTCTGTATCATTCCGATTAACAGGACCGTATCTGAAGTGGGGATGACCTCGGTCCCAGTGATCGGAATAGCAGAGGTTGACTACAAGTCATCCGAAGCGACAATTAAGTATGCGTGTCACAATCCAAGACACACGGCTGCCAGTTCAAAAGTCTGCAAGCGCTGCTGGCAGAGCTCAATAGTCTGGTGATCACAGCAATAGCCGCCAACCACTGTATCGATTTCCACTCCAAGCTCAGGCTACTGCTGCCTAATAAATTCAAACAAGAACAAAACGCGTGGTGGAGTGTGATAATAGCAGTGAGTACCACTGAAACACTGGTGTTTTTTCTCTTAATGAGAGTAACTTCAACGTCATCCAGCTCAGCGGCTACAGACGTCTGACAGTGCAGTCGAAGGATTAATGGTGCCACTGTATTCGATCTCTGGCGGTCAGATGTTGATGAGTCATTTGTTAGTACTTCCTTCTCTCATAGTTATTTCCAGTTGGTTCACTTTTAAATGTTCAGCTGCTTAATCAACCAATTTAACTATAATTATCATGATAGCAAATGCCTTGGTAGCCGGATCCGTCACAGTCGGATGGTGACTTGTCGAAAAGTAATCAAAGACAGCATGCTACGTATGTGAAAAGTTGTTTAAAGAATAGGTTTCTAATTCAATGGGGCTCTCCGTTTTCTATGCCACAATGGGGAAGGGCGATGGTTGCTCTGCGTATGTTCATCTTTTAACACTGGGAGAGTTGCGCGTAGGCACTACTGAACGGCCGAACTAAAAGTACCACATCTTTTAACTTCGTCCTGCAGTCAGCCAAACAATTAGATTCATGGAGTAAAGCGGTCGTAGTTACCGGCTTTCACGTGGTTGTCGACACAGTATTCAGTAGTGAAGTTGCACTGAATTTCTGATGCACAAGCTGGAGGTGTGTAGTGTAGGTGGCTCACTGTACCAGGGCATCCGCCACTTCCTTACTGGGAGGAATTGTAAAATACAGCGGATGATCCCCTAACTGACTCTAATAGTGTAGCGACACAAGGCCCATTACTGGGGCTGATGTTGTTCCTTCTCCATAATAACGGAGTACATCCAATTCCTCGGCCACTGAAAGCTATTTTTAAAAATAACAATAACAACACGTATCTTTCTGGGTTGTGCGAGAATCCGTCCTTGAAATGGAGACAGATCATGAGTACGCTAATGTGCATGCTCATGCATGAGTGAGATATATATTCCGGACATGTGACTATATATATATATATATATATATATATATATATATATATATATATATATATATATATATATATATATATATATATATATATATATATATATATATATATATATATATATATATATATATATAAAGCGGGAGAAAGACCTCATACATGTAGAGAAGAAGCGGCAAGTGCGGAAGCGGCAAGCATTGATAGGTTGTACTCAAATGACATCCAGCGCATGGTAGCACATTAAATCGTGAGTGCCTGAGTCAGGCAGGCCTAGTGAGCCTTGAGCGAGACCAATCGACGCGACGACGGGTCCTGCAGAGAACGTAGGCAGAACAGACGCTGCATTCGATTTACTAACCGCGTGCTTGCATGCTAATTCTATTTATTTCAGGTGGTGGTTTTTCAAGTTAGTCCTAAGGCTATTCTTTCTCATGTAAATGCCTACCTATACTCTCTTCTATAAACTTGCACATGTCGCTTAAGACAGTTGTAGTTAATTTCGATAACATTTTCGTGTTTGCGGCATTTCCGTAAAATATACTTCCGGACCTCGTGAACTTAACTATGATTCGTTCGTAAACAACATATTTCATATGCTCAATTAATTTTTCAGATTTATGTCACCGTTTCCTTATGCATTACCCGATTTATTTTCTTTGTTATCTTTCTCTCAAGTGATTGGCTGTTCTTTTATGTCCCCAGTGTGGCTGCGCTTGATGTGTATGTTGACAAGGTGCCTACCTGTCTGTTGCCCACTATCTCGTCCATACCTGCTTCAGGAGACAGTTGGTCGTTGCTGGAAGGGACAGGGTGCATGGTGCTTGTGGCCGTGTTAGGATCAAAGAGTGGTTCCATGCACTCAGTGTAGAGCGGACTACGGTCCAGCCACCGCCTTGTATGCCCTTGATTTCCAACTAAATCATGCTAGTTTTTGCCTGTGAAGGAGTGTGGGTCCCCTCCGTTGATGAAACGTGGCTCCCATCCACATGCCTTCCGGGTTTACACTGGATATGGTGTGTGTGGATGGAGCTATGTGTGATGCAGCGCAAGCCACCCATGGTCACTCTGTAGGCGCAGACGTCCGGTGGCTGTCCACAGTGACAGGCAAATCTGAAACCGGATGTCACCAACCATATGACGGGAAAGCCTATGGTGCGCTGAGGCTGTTGGTGGCTAGATCCTGACAGATGGTCTACCCATTGCTGCTATTGCTGTGCCATGGGCTCATGTCCTGGAAGTCTCTTGGCGACCTCTGGGTAGGAGTTGGTTTACGCCATTTTCCCTGCTAAGGTCCAGAACACCAATCCGCATGAGTCAGTGAACTGACCATGTGCTGGACCCGCTGCTTTTCGGGTGTATATTTAATCGGAGGCTTTGGCTGAAGACCCGAGTCGTTCTTCTGTTAGGTGTGCGCTTCCTGACGGTATCCTAGTACAAACCCTTCCTCTTCGGAGGTTAGGAATTGATGGCCCTCATCCCGTATAACCTAGCCATGGGAACCACAGGTCTACGGGTTATAAGCTTACCCCACAATTGGCGCAGAGTGCGAGAGCTACGTTTGTCTCTGCCTGTGGTAGGATACCTCCGGCTGCTCCATGGTTTGTTACTACCCGCATCAAGCCAGACAGCCCCTGGTCAAACTGGTGCGAACCGGCCAAAACCAACTACGTCTGGCGGTGGTCGCGGGTGTGGATCTTACTACAGTTGCAAAACACATAATATTTTGAAGGCTGCATGTGACGGCCTTCAAGCAGATCCTAATATGTCTCTGCGATCACATTCCCTAGCTGGATCTGCTCCCTACTGCTTTGTGAGTCAGGTTATTGAGCCAAATGCTCCAGGCGGAGTACCTCAAGCAAACCTCCAAATCACCCACTGCCTTGTGGATCAGGCTATGGAACCAAAGACTCCGGGTGGAGTCCCTAAAGCAAACCTCCGAAGCACAACGAGCACCTCGCGTGCGATTGCCCAGCAATGCAATTGTATGCCTACGCGAAAAGCACTCGATATCGGGTGCTGGAACATGTGCGCACTACGGGAGCCAAAATCAAGTAAGCGCCCCGAGAGAGGAGCTGCACTCGTCGCGATGCAACTGGCGGACTACAACATAGATATTGTGCACACAGCTAGACCTAGCTCCATGAGCATGGTCAGTAGCATGAAACTGGTGCTGGCTATACATCCTACTGCCTGGGTAACGCCACCTCAGCACCACGTGAACATGGCGTCGCATTCGTAATATCCCATCGCCTAAATGGCCATCTGGTGCGTGAAACAACAGGCATCAGCGCGCGACTGATGATTGTTCGCCTACGACTCGGAAGAGGTAAGTTTGCCACTTTTATAATCACGTACCGTCCGACAGTGTGTTGTCCTGATGGCACTCGTGTTCAATTCCGCACTCATTTATCCTCCGGGATGCGGTCAGTGCCGAGGAGCGACCGACTATTTCTGCTGGGTGATTTCAATGTGCGTTGGGTTTGATACATCAGTGTGGACAGCTGTTATCGGACCGCGTGGTATTGCTTCAACGAATGCGAACGGAGATAGGCTGCTTTAAGTGTGTGCCAATCTCAGCCTGACGAGCACGAACAGTCGGGTTGCACTGTGCGCGAGTGATGTAGTAACTTGGACGCACCCACGGAATGGTCACGCCCACCTGCTCGATTATGTCATCGTACGTCAGTGGTATGTGTGAAGTGCGCATGACAGTGCATTGCGTGGAACTGAGTGAGGCACTGCTCACAAATTGGTGCTGACCAAATTGTACATATATTTTCATAAATCTCTATATTGCACTTCCGCCGAGAATAGGCGTAAATTTAACATTCACTCCCGCGGTACTGTGGCGAAACGAATTGAGCTGGAGAAGGCGATGGCTGCACGCCTGTGTAATGTGTACTGCATGGCCACATTGGGCGACACGTGGCACCACATTCGTGACCAGATGACAGCTGCTGCCGAGGA